ACGTCAGTCAATGTAAATGGCTTAGGTGTCTGATGAGGTGGAATCGCCACATCGGAGCCTCCTCGCTTAGATTGATTGGCATCTGCAGAAGATGGCTGTTGTTGCGACAGCATTGCTTTGTTGGCGAAGTCGGTGGTCTACTTTGTAATCGCATTATGGCCAATTGTAAATAAGCAAATTTTCCTTAAAGGGATTTTGGGAAATGCCAAAATATTGAGACTTGCGTGTTGTACTTCTTCCGACTGGGATATCTCATGTCGGCGTGAATATGCGTGATAGATTCGATCCCGCATTCCCCAGTGGGCTTGATGTGGCTCGAGGCAATCCACGATAGCCATGAGGCAGCTTTTCACCCATAAAGCGGAGCTCTAAACGATGTTTGCGTAGTGAGACTGCGTTCAAAGATAAAATTTGAAGATTGGCCAGTAAATTTAAATGTATTGATAAAGTTCATTACATGGAAGTCGAGCTGGATTTAAGCAGTCGCACTTATGGCAATCCCCTCATGCTTTGACACTGGTCGCCAGCAGCCCACGAAATGTCTGTTCCTTCAGAGGAACCAGTCTTAGGGTAATCCAAAATGCAACTGCGTAATTTGCCCAAACACTGGGGTGAGATTTTTTGTTCGCGTTACGATTGTGAAACTGGTTGTGTTTCTGTTTTAGCCGAACTGACCGTGTGTGTTTGTGTAACACACGACCTTGTTCACAAACTCCTAGAACTCAATCTGCCTAAGTTGAGGCACATTATTCTCGTCGAATCAAACGAGAAGACATTGCAGACGCTGCGCGATGTGGCTGGTGACCGTGTGCAAATTCATGCATTCGGTGATGTTCTGGTAAGTGGCTGACGTCATCAAGTTTGACCTCACTCGTGTGGCTTGTTTGCGGTGTTGGTGATTCGCCCATCGCGTTGAAGTGAATCGGATCAGTGCTTTGCCATTCTGTTGGTTGTGTTAATTAGCATTGCCTGTTACATGATAATTCTCTGCTCAGTCGTTCGTGTTCAATTTTTGTGAGGTTTATGTTTCCGATTGTGCTATTTGTCGCTAACCAAGGCAGAAACGACAATGACCGCTTT